CCGGTGGCCACGCGCAGGCCCGGGGGCGATGTGCAGGCCCGGAGGCCACGCGCAGGCCCAGCGGCCACGCATAGGCCCAGTGGCCATGCATAGGTGCAGGCCCAGCAGCCACGCACAGGCCCAGTGGCTACGTGTAGGTGCAGACCTGGCGGCCACGTGCAGGCCCGGCAGCCACGCGCAGGTGCAGGCCCGGTGGTCATGTGCAGGCCCGGTGGCCACACGCAGGCCTGGCAGCCACATGCAGGCCCGGCGGCCACACGCCAGCCCCAAGCGTGCGAATGTGTGCGGGACCCAGCGTCACCTCCCGCTCGCCCACCCGGCTAGAGAAAAGAAAGGCGGCGACCTTGGCTGGTCCGTGCCGCCAGCCCGCGTTGGCGCCAAGTGTGGGACACACCCAGCGCCGGACAGGCAGCGGGGGGCCAGGCGGCCCGGGCTGCAGAACGCGAAGCAGAGCTCTGGCAGCTGTGCAGGCCCGGCAGCCGCGCAGGCCCGGCAGCCGCCAGAATGACAATTTTCTATGAGACAAAAAATAACAAATGTGAAGTGATAAAACATGACACACTGCAAGGTTAACTTACATGGTAAGGTTTAGAATTTACCTCTCAAGACCGCCCTGAGTGTTCTGGGTATACTTATACCCACATTGTGAGGCTGGATGAGGGTGGGGGTAAATAATGTGTTGAGATGCTTTGGAGAGTGCCTGTTTCTCTATGAGTTTTATTAGTCCTCTTTTTGTCTCTTTTACTCATGAAGACAATAAACTTTGAAATGTCTTGTGTTTTTTGGGGGGAGAGTTTGCCATAATGCACATCTTCTCACCAAAGAGACATAAGCAGAGAAAGGAAAAGTGATAAATTGCCCCCCAGGGTCCCAGCCTTACCACAATCCCTTCCCCATTTTTTCTAAGAATTTTAGGCACACACTCACATATTTACATACACACACACACACACACACATGCTCAATATAATTTATAAGTTGCTGAGTCCAAAATTCAAGCCATTCTTGGTCATGCAGGAGTCCAGTGCCTTAACACGACACCATCTGGTGTCCATTTTAAAACAATTTTTAAAAATAATGCTAAGCTAGCAGGTGCTGGGTCCCACATGGTCAACTGCATGACTGGATGGCTTAATAAAATGCAATGCACATGTGTGCATGCATACTAAAGTAGTACAAAGAGAAAGATGAAGAAGGGATTGTGGCTTGCCCATATCCTTTAATGGATGCTTCGTCATTTTTTTTCTCTCTCTCTCTGGCTTTCTCCAATGACAAGTGCACATGCCCTATAGTAAAAATTAAAAACAAAAAAAACCTGACTATATTTTGAGTCAATAGTCTGGAACAGTGCCTGCTATCAGACTACCTAGGAACTTCCCTGCAAGTCTCTTGAGCATGACCACTGTTCCTCCAGCTGTGACTGTGGAGGAGCAGGACTGTGCCCCACCAGAAGATCAGCAAAGGCCTGGGAGGCCAGGGAGGCATGAATAGAATTCCTGCATGTTTTTCCATCATTAGGTGGATCTCACAAGTCCCTAAGTCTCCTTCTGGAGGCTGCAGCATCCATAGGCAGAAAAAGAAGCCCTGGAGGACATCTCTGGGGTGAACTTTGTCTCTTGGGTTTGGACATGGCTCTTTTTTTTTTTTTTTGAAGAGATTTTCGCTATAGGGCGCATGCGCTCACCAGACAGACAGAGAGAGACATAGAGACAGGAAGCGAGAAATCACCCCCCAGGGGGGATGGTCACACTGCAATCCCTTCTCCTCCATTCTCTTCTCAGGATCTTGGGCATGCATGCACATGTGCCCGGCGTGAGTTTTAAGTCACCAGGTCCAGGACGCGAACCGCGGTCGACTACGTGGGAGTCCAGATACATAGCCATTACGGTAACTGCTGGTTCTGGACATGGCTCTTGAAATATTTTGTTTCTCTTTCATTTCTTTTTTCCTTTTCTTTCTTTCTCCTTTCTTCACTCATTTTTTTGAAATTGTCATTTGGCTTTTACTTATTTTTAAGTCTTATATTTTACAAATCTATGCTGATAGCATATCTTATTTAGTTTAATTCTTCTAATAAGTTGGCAAAAGCAATACTACCAATAACACATATACTGAAATTCTCATCTTTATGTTATTTTAAACAGTTGTCTGAAGATAATTATGAAATATAACTTAGTTTGAGTTAGATAATGAAGAATTCAAGAGCCAGCATGTGGCATGTTAAGTCAGTTAAGGCACTTGACTTTCACATGACTAACTATAATTCAGGTCCCAGACCATGGCTCGCTTTCTCTCTCTCCCTCTCTGTGGTCAAATTTTAAAATAAAAAGAAAATTATGATAATTAAAATTAAATAAATAATTCTTTTAAAAATATTCAAAGGTAAAATTGAACTTGAAAATACATCTCAAAACACTGATTTTCAAAAGCATCTGATTTTACAAATTATTTAAAAAGTATGTAAAAAGTTGTTTAATAGTAAACTATACTTTATTTGATTGTATACTCAGACCACACTAAAAAGTCTTTCAATAAGTAAAAGGCAGTATTTCAGATATAAGAATTGTAATTGGATTGGCAAAGTTAAGACCAAAAGTATACAGTAGACAGTACCTTATGTTTGATGCTCACCTTTAATGGGTTAATGAACAAAAAATAAAGCATAGGTAAGTCTGCTTGGTTTTGAATAGTGAAGGGATTTCTTCAATATTTATATACTCATATAACCAGTTACATGTAAGCCTAAATAAAAAACTAATCTCCAGTAGATTTTGGTTCTTTTTTACCTTTTTATTAGATGTTTTTGCTTTAGGGCTTATGTACTTTCTGGAGAAGAAAGAGAGAG